AACATGCACCATCATCACACACAATGAACTAAAGTCTTCACACACGTGACAAAAGAGGTAAGAAGAGAACCGAGTTACACATCTTATATTATCAAAAATATGATTACAAAGAATGTCATAGTTCCCTGAGTTCAAACGCTCATCAGCGCAATACGAATCTCTCATCCAACTCAACAATGTGACTTCTATACATCAGCGTCACCTTTGCAGATCATATCCAACTCAGGTAAGTATTCACCATAGTCGAACCTCTCCTGCACACTCTCTGTCTCAGTTCCTTCTTCCTATTATGCATGTACACTCTCTTCTCTCAAGGATCTACTCTGAATGTTACTCATAGGAAACTACTACTAACCCTCTAAGTCTAATACTAACTCGCTGGGCAGCTATGGCTGCTTCTCTTCCCAGTGCCCATTCTCTCTCCCTCATCTAGCGCATCTTCTTCCTTCAGCGCTCCTCCTCCTGGCTGGCGCACAAGTGCTTCAACACTTCCACGCGCAGAATGCCAGTAGAGATCTGGCGTTGAATGAGGCTGGCTGCTTCCTTTATAGCGCTGGCCTCCTCTCGCTGGGTCTGCATTGGTCCATTCWGGCCTTCCTTTGTCCCAGACCCTGCATTGCATGTGTCCCAGTACTGTCCCAATGAGGTTTACTGCTGYTGAGGCTCTTCRGCCTGGATTMTGGACTTAGATGTCTGGAKCTGGACAGTTTCTCAGACTTAGACCAGAACTGGGACTCTGTTTAYTGACTTACTTTCGAACAGGCACAACTTYRGACGAACAGACACATTTACTGCCTGAACAGACATCTAMATTGTGTGAATAAACACTCTCTTTTTGCACSAACAGACACACTGGCTRCACGTACAGACACATCCCTAYCTGAACAGACATGACATGTGCATCCCCTGGTGAACAGGTATGTCCTTCGGCAATGACCTTTGGCACTGACTTCTTGCTTTAGTTTTAGATGTGCCCTTTGACCAGAGAACTTGACCTTTGATCTGTTTTCACGTTTCCTGAGTCCTGGCGAGATACCCCTTCACGCTGCTTTACTTTTACAAGGCCTGAATCGGGTAAAGACCCTTTTACTCTCGCTGGCCTAGTTTCGAGGTCCTCTAAGAAATCATTTATCTATCAATGATGTTGATTCCTTTCTTTGCTCTTTCATACGCAGACACAATATGAGGTGCAGAGTCTAACAACTCTTCTCTTGTGAACCAGCGATCTTCACTAGGATCCTGGTATGCAAACCTCACCTTATATTGACGCTGTGGTCTGCCTCTACGACCAGTGTGAAAAGTACTTTCTGCAACAATCTTATCCACGTCATATTTTCCATCCATGCTTGGAGGTATTGCTAATCTGCGACTTGGAAATAGCTCATTCGTTACACAAGGTAAGAGCTTTTGATGCGTGGAACACTGGATAAGTATGTAGATGCAAAGAAATCTCAATGACATACGAGGGACCATCCACATCTCCAATCACATCTAAGACCTGCCGAGGTCCTCTGTAGGCGGGTAGAACCTTCTGAGAAATGTTCTCTTCAGGAGCGAACTCCTTAGATTTCACCCAAACCAAATTTCCTACAACAAATTGAGATGGTCGCCTGTGCTTATTCGCTTGTTCAATCATTTGATGATGTGCTTTTAGTATATTTTATTTTGCCTTCTCAATATCTTTCTGATATTGGATCGCGAATTCACTTGTCCCTGGTGGAAGCTTATGTACTTGATCTGGGTTCAAGCGATCAATTGGTCTACGTGGTCTCCATCCCAAATGTAACTCCATAGGAATCTTACATGTAGACAAGTGTACAGAGTTGTTGTAGGCACTAGCAACCTTAGGCAAATGTTCATCCCAGTCAATCTGGTCGGGACGAATATACATGCGCAATGTCTGCTGCAAAATCTTGTTCATTTGCTCAGCCTGGCCGTTAGTCTCAGGATGTCTACCCGATGACATAGTCAACTTAGAGCCATAGACATTCATTAGTTGCTGCCATTGTTCACTCGTGAACCTGGTATCTCTGTCACTTACAATAGTCAAGGGATGTCCAAAGTCTTTCACCCAGTGGTTAAAGAACTCTCGAATTACGAGGTCCGTTTTAGCCTCTGAAGGTAAAGCTATAAAGACAGCATACTTGGTAAATCTATCAACAACTACCATAACTTGCGTTTTCCCATTTTTACTCTTCACCTTAGAATCCATGAAATCTATAGAGACAGAGTCTCCGGGTCCTGTCGGAATAGGCAAAGGCTTGAGCAAACCAAGGGGAGATTGCGTAGTGCTCTTGTTTCGTTGGCACACTTGGCAACCTTGCACATAAGCAATGCAATCAGGCTTCATTCGAGGCCAAATATAGGAACGTAGAAGAGTCCCATAAGTCTTCTTCCACCCGAAATGGCCTTCGGTATCGTGGGATTCCCCTAAAATCACACTTTTGATCTCTTCCACATTTGGTATGCATAGCCTATCATTCACATCAGTTCTTTCAAACAATAGACCCTGAGTGAACTTATGATTGGGAAACTCTGTTGGCGCTTCTTGTACACGCTTAACCATCGCGCCATAGACAAGATCAAAGGGATATGCATTCCTAATCTTCTCTTGTAAATCAGCACCAACATCTAGATATGTCACAATGGTACTGAAAAAATCAGATCTACGACTTAGTGCATCAGCAACGACGTTGTACTTTACTGGCTTTAGCTCAAAATCAAATAAGTCAATCTTTGCAGCCCACCTTGTTAACTTACGTGTCATTTGGGCTTGCGTTTTGAGCTTGCGAAGTGTTTCATGGTCGGAGTATACCTTAAAATGCCTTCCCAAAAGATAGTGTCGCCAATGGTTGAGAGCCTCACGAAGAGCATACAACTCCCTTTCATACGTTGAAGCGGCCACTTTCTCATTAGGCAAACGACAAGACATAAACTTCACAAGTCTGTATCCATGTCCATCATCTTGCTGGAGTACAACACCTATACCATATTGACTAGCGTCGGTTGTGACCACAAAGGGTAATGAAGGGTCTGCCACTTTCAAAACCGGGTAGTTGACTAGATACTTTTTTATACGTTTGAACGATATCGTGCAGTCTGAATCCCATTTCCAGATTACTTCTTTCTTGAGCAATCTGCGAAGGGGAGCAGCTATTATCGTAAAGTGTCTCACGAACTTTCGATAATAGTTGGCTAACCCAAGGAACGACCGCAACTTGGTCAAAGTGCGGGGGTTCGGCCAATCTCTGATTGCCGCAATCTTTGCGTCTTCCAGTTTGACCCCATCTCCATCAATCACATGTCCCAAGTATAAAACCTGATGCTTGGCCCATTCACACTTCTTTGGGTTTAACATGAGTTTTGCTTCTCGCAACTTATTTAGCACAAGTCGAAGGTGCTCAATATGTTCTTTCTCATCCTTGCTAAAAATTAGAACATCGTCTAAATATATAACAACGAATTTGTCAAGCCATTCACGAAAAAGTTCGTTCATCGTTCTTTGGAAAGTGGCAGGGGCATTTGTTAGACCAAAAGACAAAACTATAAACTCATAGTGCCCATACCTTGTCCTAAAGGTCGTCTTATGTTGGTCCTCCGTTTCTACCTCAATCTGATGGTAGCCGGATTTCAAATCAATCTTTGAAAATATCTTGCAACCCTGCACGTGGTAATGGTTCAACATTTTTCACTGTTATATCATTCGATCTTCTATAATTTATACACATGCGAACGCCGCCATCCTTCTTAGGTACAAAAAGCACAGGCGCACCATAGGGCGAGGAACTAGGTCTTATCCATCCATTTTTCAGCAGCTCATCTAGCTGGGTTCGCAGTTCATCCAATTCTTGGGGTGACATCCGGTAGATTGGCCCCTTAGGAGGTGAACTCCCTGGAACAATGTCAATGCGGTGCTTAATTGGTCTTTTTACCACACCGCTTGGGACTTCAGCCACATCTGCAAACTCTTTCAAGATTCTTTCAATTTCTTGGGACTTAACCTCTTCCTTACTTTCCCCCTCCTTTACTGGGCGCACACATGCAACAAATACTTGATCATACAAGTTATATCTTTTTACATGGCGAGCGAATGCGGGGGCACTCATGCAACAATGAGCTAGGCTGCTTTCCTTTCCTGATTCATGATAGAGACGAATTTTCCTTTTGCCTCCTTGCGAACTTGGGAGCCCACATTCATGGTCCCTTAGCTTTAGATTCGCATTCGCAGCCTCACCCCAGTCCATACCTAACAATACATCAAAGGGCAAGTTATCTTCCACCAAGAAGGTCAGAGAGTGGAGAACACGTTCCACCTTCCCCTCTGCCTCGAGCCGAAAGTATGCTTGTACCCCTTCGACGTATCAATCCATGACGACTTCACTACTATTAGCTAGCCTACTTACAATGGGCTCATTCAACTTCTTAACTTTAAGCCCAAGACGCAGCTTTTGCAAACCTTTCTTACTAATATAACTGTGTGTAGACCCACTGTCTATCATACCTCCTACTCTTATTCGGTTGATTTCAAGATCTGCAATTATCAACTGTCCTTTCTTCTTTTTCATTTCAGTCCAGGCTTGGCGACGAGCGGCCAACTCATCACCCACGCCAGCGAGGGATTCATCTAGAGAGATGCATACGCTTGCTACCTCTAGGCAGTGCACTAGATGGGGACTAGTTCCTTCATCTTCAGTCTCTGCCAGTGGGGCCTTCGAATGGGAGGATTCTGATTTTTCAACATTCGAAGCCCCGGTAGAGGCAACTGGAACCTCTACTGGCTGTTCCCTTTTGCTCCCTATAGTCGGGGCAATAGGGGACAATGTGGTCGGGGTCCCCACATTTCAGGCACTGGTCGGCGGCTTTCCTTTCTTGCCACACTTTCTCTGTGATTCCCAATTTCTTCCAAGGCTCCCCTTCGGGTAGACCTGGATGAGGTGGGTATGGCTTATCCCACTTATTATACCACGTGCCTCTTCCTTTACCCCAGGTGGAATAAGTACCACGGCCACCTTGCGAGGGACCATTTCCCCTTCCTCCCACGTAGTGGCTTCCTTCGCCACCACCCCTCTGGGTGCCGAATCCTCGTCCACCACGGCCGCGACCTCTTCCTCGGCCACGCCCTCTTCCTTGACGCCCTCCCCCGCGGGCTACAACGGCCGCATAACTCCCCTCCTGAGCTATCGGTCCGCTGAGTTCGTCGAGTCCATAATCTACCTGGTCCCAGGAGATGGTCTCGACGCCTCCCTCTTCAAAGGTTAGAAGGAGACTATCCTTCCCAGGTATAGACCCTGAGATAGTGTGGTTTTGCCACTTCTTTCCCGCTTGCAGATCTTTCCAGTAGTGGCAGTAATTTGCTTCGGCGAGGAAGCCAGCATGATCTATCGCGATCTTGCTGAACTTCTCGTAAGTCGTTCCATCTTCTTTGACACGGGGATAGAGTTGTGTTCGCAGGGGATCAGGAAATGCTCGTGCAAAGCTGTTCAAAATTTGGGCAGGTGTAAGTCCATGGTCGGGGCACTGTAACAATTCATCCATGGTTGCTTTCAGGGCAGAGGTGCTCTTCCATTTCCTATCAGGGAGGTTGAGGATCAACATCTCTGTGCGACGTCCTAAGTTCTTGTCCTCAAATCTTTCTCGAATTGTTTTAAGAAAGTCTTCAATCCGAGTTTGTTGTGAGAACTCTACCATTGAGCTGCAACCCGCCTCCTTTTGTAGCGAAATCGCGAAGCTCATGGCATCGCCTTCCATACATGAACTCGCCATCAACACCCTGTCCCAGTATGGGATTCGCTGCCCGTATACGTATGATTCAATGACTGTCATCCAGTGCAGAACACTTTCATTTTTTTTCCCGTTATAGGTACATGGCAATTTGAGTTTAATCTTGCTGACCTGCCCTACTTCCTGTGGAAGTTTTCCTTTCCGTTCAGGAACCCCTTTCCCCTTTTTGTCATCATCGCCGTCATCGCCGCCATCCCCTCCTCCGCCTCCAGCTCCCTTGACAATCTTTTCTATGACCACTGGAGTGAAGGTCTTGGTGATGTGTTCATTTAACGCCTTGATATAAGTCTGGATATGCTGGTCAACGTCTTTTGCTGATTTCTCCAGAAAGTTGTTCCAAACAGTTTCAAACTCACTCCGATGAGTCTCTACTTTTTGTAGCGTCTGATGCATTAAGGCCATTTCTTGCCTTGTGTTGAGGACGGCCTCTCTGAGGAGGGCAAGTTGTTCGTCCGTTGCAGATGGTTTATCTTTTTGAGCTTCTAATGGTTTCTGCAACTTCTCTCCCTCCGCTTGCAACCTCTTTTTTTCTTCCAACTCTTGCCTTTTGGTGGCTAGCAATCTGTTATGCACTTCGGCCCTCTTCTCCTCTAACATCAAATTTCGTTCAGCTAAATCAGCTATAGTGGCCAACCTTGCGACGAACACATCTCGCTCTTCTTCAGATTCACGTAATGGTTCGCTGGTGTAGGAGTACCGAACAGCCCAATCCAGCGGTTCGACTGGCAGCCGGTCTGCTGCGGTATAACTACTCTAAGGTAAGTCGAAACGACGACGTCTTTCTAAAGTCTCCCCTTCTTCCTGCTCTTCTTCTTCTTCTTCTTCTTGGATACTCTTCAGTTCTTCTTCTAATTCCTTTTCCATCTTTTCCTTCAGCTTCTTCTTTGCTTCTTCTTCTTTCTGTTTCTTCTTAGCTTCTTTCTCTTTCTTCTTCTCTGCCAACCTGCGGTCAATTTCTGCCTGTTCCGCAGGTGTGGGCGCAAGTGTTATTGTCCCAAACCGAAGTATCGCCCGGGACGCACACACGCGTCCGAATCCCAGGGGGAATATCAATCGGAACAAGGGTCCCAACACAACAGAGAGGGCCAGCAGGACCTGGATGGGATAGTCATCCATGATGATGATCGGCACAGGGGGTCCTCCGCCGGTTCACCACAGCACTATCCCACTCAGACTTGTTTACTAACTCAGTCTTGACTCGTGCCGAATGGAGTACGGGATTTCGTTTTTTTTTTTTCTTTTCTTCTGTCTGGTTTTCCTGGATCAGACTCGTGCAATGTGTTTCCTGTACCTCGCTGTACTTCCCCCTCTATGCCTTGTTTGTTTAGCTAACTGGCGTTGGCTGTTTGAATGCAGGTATGGAGTCAAAGCGCAAAAGTGTCAGATGCAGATGTTACATGTAGTCAACCAGGCAATAGTACTTTGCTCAAATGTTCTTTCTTTCTGGCTTAATTATCCCTGTGGATGCTCATCATCATACTTGCACTGCCTGGTACTTGCAATCTGACCTGGCACATAGGCACTACCCACATCGATTCACAGTCTTCGGATGACGTGACACAGCATATCTCTCAAGAGGGGTAGGAGAGATGACTCTAACTCTACCTACAGAACGCTGACCACCCAATCTGACGTGACCAGCTCCGGACACACTGCATTCGGACCACCCAGACTCTGACGACTCAGACTCCAGACTCGTTATGGTGATCCAGATCAAGACTCGACTTCCAGACCAGCAGCAGTCACCTCCAGAGGGGAAGAGAGAGAAGGTAGGGGACACACACACGCATGCAGGTTAAGGGCAGGAGGTGCTTCTATCTTGTTGAAGAACCTTCGATGTCGCTCCTCGTCGCGCAGCACGCTCCAGGTAAGTGTCATAAGCCCCTTCTTCTTGGGCCTGCTCCTACTACTAATCCTCCTTCTCCTCTCCTCCTCACCTTCTTCCACTAATCCTCCATTACCACCTTCGGTACTTCTTCTCGCCGGCCTTGATCATGCCAGCGCTATGAGTGCAACGAGCATAGTGCTCCAATACCAAAATTTGTCCTGGAGACCATCTCACGCAAGAGTGTTCACAGCATGCACCATCACCACACACAATGAACTGAAGTCTTCACACACGTGACAAAAGAGGTAAGAAGAGAACCGAGTTACACAACTTATATTATCAAAAATATGATTACAAAGAATGTCATAGTTCCCTGAGTTCAAACGCTCATCAGCGCAATACAAATCTCTCATCCAACTCAACAATGTGACTTCTATACATCAGCGTCACCTTTGCAGATCATATCCAACTCAGGTAAGTATTCACCATAGYYGAACCTCTCCTGCACACTCTCTGTCTCAGTTCCTTCTTCCTATTATGCATGTACACTCTCTTCTCTCAAGGATCTACTCTGAATGTTACTCATAGGAAACTACTACTAACCCTCTAAGTCTAATACTAACTCGCTGGGCAGCTATGGCTGCTTCTCTTCCCAGTGCCCATTCTCTCTCCCTCATCTAGCGCATCTTCTTCCTTCAGCGCTCCTCCTCCTGGCTGGCGCACAAGTGCTTCAACACTTCCACGCGCAGAATGCCAGTAGAGATCTGGCGTTGAATGAGGCTGGCTGCTTCCTTTATAGCGCTGGCCTCCTCTCGCTGGGTCTGCATTGGTCCATTCWGGCCTTCCTTTGTCCCAGACCCTGCATTGCATGTGTCCCAGTACTGTCCCAATGAGGTTTACTGCTGYTGAGGCTCTTCRGCCTGGATTMTGGACTTAGATGTCTGGAKCTGGACAGTTTCTCAGACTTAGACCAGAACTGGGACTCTGTTTAYTGACTTACTTTCGAACAGGCACAACTTYRGACGAACAGACACATTTACTGCCTGAACAGACATCTAMATTGTGTGAATAAACACTCTCTTTTTGCACSAACAGACACACTGGCTRCACGTACAGACACATCCCTAYCTGAACAGACATGACATGTGCATCCCCTGGTGAACAGGTATGTCCTTCGGCAATGACCTTTGGCACTGACTTCTTGCTTTAGTTTTAGATGTGCCCTTTGACCAGAGAACTTGACCTTTGATCTGTTTTCACGTTTCCTGAGTCCTGGCGAGATACCCCTTCACGCTGCTTTACTTTTACAAGGCCTGAATCGGGTAAAGACCCTTTTACAGGGCCCCGTAAGGACAAAAAAAATGGGGGGGGCGGGGGGCGAGTCGGGAAACATCAACCACGTTCCACCCATACTGGCCAGATACATCCTATGAGGCGCTACTGAGACTGTGCCCTCAGTGAGGGCGTCTGTCTGATCGAGACGTAATGAAGAACAAAAAAAAAAAAAACATCGCTTATGCTGTGATTGCAGTCCAGTACAGGACCCTACAGCACGTGTTGCCCCGCGTGGAGTCCGCCCTGCCACCAAAAGCAACCCAACAGAACGAAAGAAACAACAAAAACAGAAGCAATCACGTTCCACACATACTGGCAGATACATTTTTCAAAGCACTTGTATCACCTCCACCTTCGTGAGGGCCTTCCCCAACGTTGCTGGATTCGAAGTGCTTACATTTTTTTGTTTTTTTTTCTTCAACGGGGGCCCGCAGTGTCGCATTCTTTTCTTTTTCTTCTTTCCTGCCAAGCCTCCACGAGACCTCCGAAGTTTGCAGTAAATCCTACTTTACCACTTTTCCCAACACTGAGAAAGGTAGTGGTGGTTTAACGTCAAGACTCACTGTCAATGACAGAGAAAACTCAGCGTTTCTCAAGGTGGGCGGTAGCCAGGGGACTTCTGGAGCTTCTTAGGAGAGTAAGCTGTCACTGGTGTACAAATAATGACCCGTGTGTCAGAGGAAAACAGTTGATAGCTGGCCCCCTGTTGAGAGCTCTGCAAGCTCCTCGCCAGTCTGGCCGGATCCTGGTACGTATATTATCCAAGATCCAGTTTTTTTTGTTTTTTTTTTTCGATTCATGTGCCTCATCCTTGCACAGGGACCATGCTAATCTTCTCTGTATCGTTCCAATTTTAATGGATGTCCCGAAGGACATCCAAGATCCAGTTTTGACAGCCAAGTCCGAGTGAAACAATTCCCTAAAAAGCTAGGCTGGCCCGACGCCTGGCCGGGCGGATCCCGGCCGGTCAGGCCCGGGGGGGTCCGCTCGGCGAAACCAGGCGACCCAAAAAACCAGCAGAATATTTTTCCTTTTTTTTTT